ACCCTAATTTAGAGAACTGCCCCCATCGTTCAAGGCAAAGTAAAGGCATCAAGTGGGAAGTCCACACAGAATCGACAGGCAGCGCAAGGTCAAATCATAGGCGCAACTAAACCAAAAGCAAAAAGACAGTAAGACGAGTAGGTAAATTCAAGCCAATGGCAACATGAAGCCCAAGATAAATGGTACATACCAGAAACCGTACCAGCACAGTCGAAGACAGGCTAACAACAACCTTCTTTGGTTCACCTCTCACGTACGCTTGGCTTATATACTTTTTATCTGCCCTCAGTTTACCTTGCCTCTTCCTTTTATATACCCTTTCTTTACCGGTTGCTGCCAGTACTTCTAGCGACTCATATGTTCAACTCCATGGTTTGGGGCTTCCATCTCCAATGGTTACGAGTGTCAGGAACCTGAAGCCCTACATGTAGGGTTTAGGGTTTAGCATGTAGGGTTTCGACTTGTGGCAATCTTTTGCTGCCTTACGGCTGGATCCTTGATTATGTTCGTCTTTGAGTTCTTTTGGCTTCTTATTTACGCCTTGCATTTGCGGTTTATTTACGATCTGCGTTCTTGTGTGGCTATGCGTTTATGGTGGTGTTTATGTGTATTTTGTATGTGCTCTTTATGTTTTATGGTTTTGTTTAAGTTGGGTGTAAAGTGTTTGATGGTTGGTTTACTTTTTGTTTTCTTGCTATGGCTTTGCTGTGCTATTTAATATGTTGCAAAACCATAAGAAGTTCATAAATATTTCGTAAACCTGAAACGGCAAGCGTAACCAACCCCATAAATGCCAAGCGTGCAAACACATAAAATAACCATAGAAAAAATCCCAAGAAGTCCATAATCTTACGCGCATTAAGTTTAAACTTTACGGGTGTGGACTTTAAGGGTTTTAGGCTTTGCGGGCTAAGGGTAAACTCGGTCTTGAGACGCTGAGTTGTGCTCCGGCTGCGTGTCTGCGAAAGTTTCGGGGTCTCTTTTCATCTTACGAATATGTCATGCATGACTCATGGCATGGCATCTTAGTCCACTTTACTCCGAAGCTGCGGAAGAAGCAGCTGTCTTGTGCAAGCCCCCACGGACAAAGCAAACAAGCCAGTTCAGTCATCGCTGTTTGATATCATGTCCTAAACGGCCATAACAACAGCCGACTCGGCGACCTGATATGATGCTTCTTCGCTGTCTTTGATCTGTCCATTGCTGATGTTCATCTCAGTTCTACTCAAGCCTGGGCTCAAACCAACCATGGGCCCTAACACGCCCGAAGACTCCTAAAGCTCGCATAACCAACAAAAATCCCGGAAAACCTTGCATGTTAGGCTTCAGAATCCAAAGCTTTGGTGCCGAACCCTAAACCCTAAACC